GTGCAGCGAAACTGAAAGAAAGAAATAAGGATCAGTGTCTTGGCCTGGGGTAGAGCTCAGCAGAAGAGTGATGATGTCCTAGTGTGCACAGGGCCCTGAGTTCAGTGTCACACTGGGGATGGGGTCAGTCAGGGTTAGCAACAGTTCCTTCTATTAAGTAGTTATAAGAGCCAAGCAACTTAATAAGTTTTTATGTACAAACATGCTATTTGAAAAAAAAAACTTAGATGAAAACTGGAAGAAAATGAATGCACTTGTTCTGTTTCTAATTGACACCAGGGGAGTGAATGATGATACCACACAATGTCTCCAGCTTGGAGCTGGATGCTACCATTACTCCACTTCCTGTCCCACATAGCTCATGATTGTACCTGCTATTGACACAAAAACCACAGCTCTCGCCTTAAAGGGAGTAAGAGATGACAGTTTATTCTGGAGCCACCTGGAGTGATCCTGGCCTGGGGGCACAGATTTCGGCCACATTCCAGTGTGGAATTGGTTTCATGAAGTTTTATATACTTTATAGAACAAAGAAGGTCACAAATAAAGGTCAGTTTAAAATATATTGGTGGGTACATCAGAGGGGCAGGTACAGCAAGATGGAGGAAGCTTTTCTATAGCCTAAGATGTTATTTGATGTCATTCTTAGCTTTTGGGTTGGTGAAAGCTAACAGTCTGCTAAGCTAATAGATTCCAAGAATTTGTATCTATTAGTCACAGGGCATTAGTCCTAACACAGAAGTAGGCAGGGAATGGCTATTCAGGGGGGTTAAAGCTAGCCCAAGATAATATAATTAGCCTCTGGGCAGGGAATATTCCAGCCTCTCACATCACTGTGATTTCAATCAGCCAGGTTTTGCAGGCATAGCTTCTTTTTAGGAATTCTGATTTACTTATGAAAGAAACTGCCAAGGAGCCTGATTTGGAAAGATGGGACAATCCACACTGGCGCAAACTTGTGTTGAAACTGTTGCCCACCTAGAGCTGGATTGCTGCCCTTAAAACCTAGAGAGTCTCTTGCTACAGAAAACTTGCTGCAGGGGGTTGGAGCAGTTTGGGAGCCAAACCATTCATTTCTCACATTGGGCTCCCAAGAGGTCTGGGACATCGAATCAGCCAGTAAAGGAGGGCCTGGAGGTGACTGGTCTACTGATCCTGAGGAGGTGTTCTCAATAGAGCATTCAGTACAGGTACACACTGTGGGTGAGAATTACGTATCCTGTAGACATCTCAGATTCCGCCAGGACCAAAAAGTTGTGCTGAGACAACACATTCATTTCTGTTAGTCAACATTTTCCTGTGCTTGCATATTCACATAATAGATGCTATGTGATTATTTTATGCCTCAGGTGATAATGTAGTAACTGTTGTGTGGCTCAAACCATTCCAGCTTTAGCCATCAAGAGATCTGATAATTGGCTTCTACCTCTTTGAGGATCCCCATTGTTAGGGTGATAGATCTTCATAACTGTGAGGAGCTGTCTCAGAAAGTTACTTAGCTGAAGTTTTACTCCTTCTTTAGGAGATTGGGCTCACTTTAACAAGTACTCAAGGGGTTGCAACAGCATCACTCTTATTAGGAAGCTGGCATTCTTAGCATGTTAAAGTTTAATAAACAAACTTTAATAAACGGACACGGGAAGTTGAAGTTTAAAAGCTGGAGTGGTCAAGTTAAAATGAAATAACCTGATACATCTTTACCACCCCGGGCTCAATCTACACCATCATTCATTCATAGCACATTCACTCCTCATTTTTAGCACGTGTGAAGTCAAGGCATCTCTAAAAGGTTTCCTTGGCGGTAGCAATTGTGATTAAGTTGTCGGTGTGCACCACCTGCTGGTGGAATCTAGAAAGCACCAGAAACTTTTTTTTTTTTTTTTTTTTTTTGGTTTTTCAAGACAGGGTTTCTCTGTAGCTTTGGAGGCTGTCCTGGAACTCACTTTGTAGACCAAGCTGGCCTCGAACTCACAGAGATCCGCCTGCCTCTGCCTCCCGAGTGCTGGGAATAAAGGCGTGCGCCACCAACGCCCGGCTCAAGCACCAGAAACTTAACTGGCAGGCGAGGTTCTGTTGTTGGTATCAGGCACTGGGGGCAGTGATAGGCCTGACCATGTTTTTGTTAGAAGAAATTTGGACTTTGGTACTTTGGGTTATGAAATCAATGGAATGCTGTAATTGCTGCTTAATGAGCCTTACTGGTAGGAGCATGGAAGACAGAGACGCTAAGAGCTGTTTGAATTGTTGGGGGCTCACTCAAGTGGTTTCAGAGGAGATGATGTGGCCTAGAGACTGGCCTTGTGATATTTTGTTGAAGAAAGTGGTGGCCTTTTGCCCTTGTCCAGAGTCTGCTTGAGGCTAAAGTGAAGAGTTTTGGATTAATGCCGTTGGCAGAGGATATCTCAAAACAGTCTAGTATAGACTCTTGTGGTTATTAGTGGTAACTCTAATGAAGATTTAAAATGAAAAGGAGCAAGCTGAGCAGAGTAAATCACAAATGTAAATTTTGAGGCAAAAAAAAAAAAGAGCATCAGGAAGTGGAATGGAGCTAAGTCCTGTGTTCAAGGAGATAAACGGATTAAGAACTGGAATAAAGGGAGTGGTGAACTTAAGGCAAGATCCCACCCAGATAAGTTTCCAACTTGTGAAAGGAGCTAAAGAAAAGTTTAGATCAGGGTGTGGTGGGGCACACCTTTAATCCCAGCACTGGGAAGGCAGAGGCTGGGGGAATCTCTGAGTTTGAGGCCAGACTGGTCTTGAGATCCAGTCTCAGGACAGCCAAGTTTACACAGTAAAGGACAGAAAGCTGGTGAAGATATAATTGAACGAGGGGTTTGGGGGGCATGCTGATCCATTCCCAGTGAGCAGCAGAACTTGGCAACTGCAGCCATGTGGTTCTGGTTTTGGAGTTAAGGATAAAAGAAATGGGTTAGGGAATTTGTCTCCATGCCTAAAACTGCTGAGGCCAGGCATGTGTCAGGAGTGTCAATGAAAAGAGGCCTAGTAGAGAGGCCATTGCTGAAGCTGTGAAGTTGAAGCTGGATTGCCTTGGAGACCTCACGATGTTAGAGATTCTGGAGTTGTGGGATACCTGCCGAGGAGAGCTGCTGACTGGGAGTGGGTTGGTTCCACTCCCAGTCAGCAGCTCTCCAGTAGTCAATAAAGCTGAAAAGCGTTTTGACATCAGACATGGACATGTAGGGTTTGGAGTTTGCCCAACTGTTTTTTGGTCTTGCCTTGGTCCTCGCTATGCTCTCTTCCCTGTATTTTGGAATGGTAATGTATATCATCCCGTGCCATTAGATGCTGGAAGTATGTGATCTAATTTTTGATTTCTATTTTTACATGTGATTATAGTTAAGAGATTGCATGAATCTCAGAAGAGACTTTGAAATTTAAAACACTGTTGAGATTGGAATGTGGAAGTTTGAATGTAATTGGCTCCCACAATCTCATAGGGAGTGGCTCTATTAGGAGGTATGGCTTTGTTGGAATAACTATGGCTTGTTGGAGGAAGTACGTTACTGTGGGGGAGGGCTTTGAGGATACTACCCAGTGTCTCAGTTGACTTCCTGCTGCCTACAAGATATAGGATGTCTTCAGTATCATGTCTGCCTGCACTCCACCACACTTCCCACCATGATGATAATGAACTGAACCTCTGAAAGTCTAAGTGAGCCATCCCAACTAAATGTTTTCCTTACAAGAGTTGCCATGGCCATGGTGTCTCTTCACAGCAATAAAACTCTAAGACAGAGCTATCCAATCAAAGGATGCTTGAATACTGTACTCAATTCTTTTCACTTGCTTTCTCAACCTTCCTAATGCTGCAACTCTTTATTTAATAGTTTCTCATGCTGTGATGACCCCCAACCAGAAAATTATTTCATTGCTCCTTCATAACTGTAATTTTGCTGTTATGAATCATAACATAAATATCTGGTATGCAGAATATGTGATATGAGACCCCCAAAGGAGTTGTTCCCCACAGGTTGAGAACCATTGCTCTATGGCAAACATAGCATCTAACTTTCTAGCTATCAGCTACTGGGGAGATTCTAAGGCAGCAGTGTTCCTACAAGCCATGTTGAGTCTTTAGGAGACTGTTCCAACCTTGCCATGTAAAACTTCAAGAGCACCTCTGAAGATAAACACTTCAGAAGGTGTGATGTAATTCAACAGCGTGGGCTCCGACATAAAAAAAAAACAACAACAACAAGGCATTCTCACAAAGTGGGTCCCTGCTCACAGTCAGTCTTTGAATTACAACAAAAGTAAAATGTACAATATAATCTGAACTCTGTCCTCAGACTCTTATCTCTAAGATTGTAATCAGCTATATATGCTACATCATCCAGCAAAAATATTATATTTTTTTGTTAACAATGTCAATTTGACAGGATTTGGGTTCACAAAACATCTTGAAACTTTTATGGATAAACTGAGATAAAGCTTACACACACACACACACACACACACACACACACACACACACACGTATATGTATATGTATATGCATATGTATGTATGCTTAAACCTCATCCCCAGAAACAGGGCCCCATAGCCAAAACCAGCCGATATCTTTTTAGGTGTTTTGTTTCTGTTTTTGAGACAGGATCTTGGTGGTGTAGAGCGTTGTAATCCAGGCTGGCCTCGAACTCACAGAGATGTGCCTGCCCCTGCCTCCCAGTGCTGGGATTAAAGGCGTGCGCCACTGCCACAAAGAACAGCTGGTATCTTAACAGCCTGGGAAACATTAATTGTACGAGAAGACTTACCTGAAAACAAACAAAGGAGGCAGTAAATTGAAATCTGTCAGCTAATCTGATAAAGCAGTATTTTCAAAAAATATTATCAGCCATTTCTTCAATAGGACACACATTAAGATTTTTTTTACCTACTTGGAGATTATTCCCATGTGTATATTTTTAGCTGATAATTCTTTTGCTAGCTTTATAAAATGAAAATAAGCTAACTATAAAGCTTCTCACTTTTTGCAGTTATTTTTTAAATAGATTATTTTATTCTTCACATTATTAAAAAAAACTCCATATTCCTTTCTACACAGTTGCAGGTCAAAAAATACTAAACAGTTTCATGGTTTGCTGAAATACAGGTAGGAAAACAGATATTTGACATGAAGCTTGTTTTAATTTTTCTTAAAGAGACATTATTAGTTTAAAGAGTTCCAAGGAATTTAATAAAATTTTCGGCGGTGATTATTTCTGAAATGTATAAAATTTAAATAATTATAAAAAGGTTAAAAACCAAAATATGATAAATTTTGCTTCTTCCTCCTTATTAAAGATCCAGACAATATGTCACATCAAGACAGTTCAAAACGGTTACAGTGGCTGCTGTCTCAGTCGCCCTCAGAATCGCTGTCCCTTCTCATGGGAACAGAGCCTCGCACTGAGGACAGCAGCCTGTCTTCGATGGGCTTCTTGGGGTTCTCCTCCAGGTCAGTCTTGATTGCTCCTGACTCAGACAGTTTCCACTCCAACTCTGTGTGACAAAGAAAAAGCAAACCACATGAGGTACCAGATCCCCTCAAAGTAGTCCCCACCCAAAGCCCATCAACACAATTTTAATGTTTCCTGAGGGGGTTAAAAAACAAAAAACATCAAAATTTGGTGACCCTTTTAGTGCCATAGTTTTAAAGTACCAAAAAGGAAAGGAGAAAAAAATATTAAACTCTTAGGAAGGAAAACTAAAAACTATTCGAGTGCTGACTAAATGAAATACTGTATAACTGGAACCTGCCTGGGAATTACAGTAAGACACAAAGAACAATGCTACCAAGTCTCAGCTTAGACATTTCCATGAGGAAAACACCTCCACGATGTGAAATCTAATTTTAATTAACAAAAGGGAATTTTCAGCTTCATGTCTGATATCCTATCCATTCAACTCAAAGCATTTGTGCAATCCAAATAATAAATAAATAAATGATACAAAGTAAAGACTATGTGCCCAAGAACAAGTTCCTGAAAGGCCACATGGTGGGCCACCTTAGGAGCAAAATTAAGTGACATCAAATATTCCAGGTAGCTTGCCTTTCTTAGTCAAAATCTCCCACTACAACTGACAGCCAGTTTTAGCTTATCTAACTACTTTAAAGTCTTCTATGAAGGCCGGGCGGTGGTGGCGCACGCCTTTAATCCCAGCACTCGGGAGGCAGAGGCAGGCGAATCTCTGAGTTAGAGGCCAGGCTGGACCAACAGCCTCCGAAACAATACAGAGAAACCCTGTCTGGTGAAAACCAAAAAAAAAAAAAAAAAAAAAAAAAAAAACCAAACTTCCAATGTAAGATGGAAAAGCTTTGGGAGCCTAAGGGGCAGCATGGTGACCACAGTTAATAATGAACTACTACATACATGAAACATGCTTAGAAAGTAGACAATACTGTCACCAATGAGAGAGAGGATGAGCGAGGTGACAACTGACTTGAGATCTTGTATTCCTACACTGAACATGTCACACACCTTAATAACCTGAATATTTAGCTCTTTTCTTTTTCTTTTTAATGAGTCACACCTCAGTAATGCCCGGGGCAGTGTGCACCACCAAGATGATCATGTACCTGAGTATTTTTAGCTCCACGTATTATGGTTGAATGCCGTGAAAACAGGCTCTTTAAAAGGAAGAAATAAGATTTCTGATTCTTAACTCAAGAATGTGTTTCTTTGTATGTGTACACATACACATGTGCCTTTTACATTACCATTCACTTACAGTCATTATATATACAGATGTACAAACCCTCAAATAAGAACTTTACACTGTACACTGGTAGTTAAGACCTAGTGTGCCTCACCAGAACTGCTAGTCTGCTAGTTAGACCTGGTATGTCTCACCAGATCTGCTAGTTAGACCTGGTATGCCTCACCAGATCTGCTAGTTACACGTGGTGGTCTCACCAGAACCCATGTTGGCTTCAATGGTCCCTACAGCAGAGTGTGGACATTTAAGAGGGACTAATATCTTTCTCACAAGACTACATCTTAAGAAAGTGGGGTGCAGTTGACTGTGGTGGCGCACGCCTTTACTCCTAGAAGCTGGGAGGCAGAGGCAGGCAGATCTCTGTGAATTCAAGGCCAGCCTGGTCTACGGAGAGTTCCAGTACAGCCAGGCAGCCAGGGTTTCACAGAGAAACAGGATGTTACCACACAGTAAGGGTAAACTTGGCATCTCTTCTCAGTCGCTCTCAGACATCCTCCTTCGGTGTGTGTGCCCTTCCTTCTCCACAAGGATACAACGCAACATGGGAGCCGACACAAGTCAGTGACAAGCCCTTGGCTTCCCAGACTTCAAAATTAGGAGTCAAAGTAAACCCCCTTCAGGTGGTTTTTGCTTTCATAAAAGAAAATGGACTAAGGCATAGCCTCATGTTACAGTATAATCCAAGAGGACAAAATCAGGTATGTATTAATCTGTGATAGTATATAAAGCCATGTATATAAAAAGAAAGTATATAAACCAAGTATATAAAAGTATATATTTTTAAAGAGAAGCAAAGCAGTTGGATAGATTATATTTCAATGAAGAAATAGAGAATTTCACTTGACAGAAGTCACTAGCCTCAGATTCTATAACATGAGTCATGGGTAGCAGGTATAAAGGAATAAAAAAAAAATCCTTCCAAAGAGATAGCATTACATGAAACTTACAATGAAAAACTACTGGGAGTCAACTGAGACTACGGAGGAACACAAACACACATATAAGCAAGTGCCATGGACATGTTAAGTTACATTAAACGCAGAAACCGTGATCTTAAGCTATACCTGAAAACAAAATAGTCAACAGACGAGTGAAACCCACCTGATGTTAGCACAAGGTAAAGGTGAGTCCAGTGTGCCGCCTGTCCCTGAGAACAGCAGAGCCCAGCTCCCTGCTCCCGGGGACTCTTGCCACATAGAGGCAGAGAGAAATGGACAAATCCTGACACCTATCTAGGAAACTGGCACTCCCTGTGAGGGAGTGTCCCTGCCCACCTCTCACAACACCCTCAAGAGGTCAAGAGCCCCTCACCATCTCTCGTCAGGTTCATGCCACCGAACACCAGAGGACCAATGAACTGTGCCTTGATGTCACCGTCCAGATACACGAACACCGTGGGCAGGTTCCTGTCGGGGTAGTTGGGAATGCAGGTTGTGGAGATGGCTTTGACAAACTTCACGTCAGGAAACTTCCTGGCGAGCCCGCTCAAGTGCTGGTTTATCAAGGAACAGAGGGGAATCCTGGATCACAGGAAGGGAACACAACACGGCCGTGAGTAGACAAGACAGAGCCCTGTGGACCTTCTACTGACACAGAAACCTCAGAAGGGTTTCCCAGGGTGTATTCTTCTGCAAGATGAACCCACATTTCTAATAAGCAAACAAACAAACAAACAACTAAATAAATAAACCCGTTCTAGCGTGTTCAGGGAAAGTGAACACCTCCAAATCCAAATTCAATTCAATTTAACACTAAGTCTAAGAAAACAGCTTTGATAGTTTTTAAAACTGCCATGCTTTCCTGTAACACCCTGAAGAGAACACATGACTCGTGTGAAATAGGCCAGAAAGCACTCCCTGCCTGTAAGTGATTTCTAAACAAGCACCCCGTGTACAGGTGAAGGACAAGCCTGTGTGGCAAGAAAACACAGGTGGCCACAGCCTCTCTCAGCAGTTACTCAAGGTCACCCTGGCCATCCGCAAGTCATCAGTTTCACAGAACTGTCAAATGCCAGTTCCTCTACAGGGAAGGGTAACTTGATCTGGTTTATTTTGCTTTTTTGCTTTTTAAGATTTAGGTCTTGCCATGTAACCCACACTGCCCTTGAGCCTGCTATGTAGCCCAGGCCAGTCTTGAACTCTGTCGCAGTCCTCCGGCCTCAGCTTAAGCTGGGAGTGCTAGTTAGTGTGTACTACCACACTTGGCAGAATTCTTTTTTAAGCCTTTGCTCTGCACTTTTAATAGACACACATTGCTCACAACTAGTAATGTAAAAGTCTTAAAATGAAAACTGAGCACTAAGGTTTGGGCCAAATAGTCTCAAAAAACACAGAACATAAACACAGGTAAAAAAAACAAACAAAACATAAAACCAAAACTTTCCTTATGGGTTAAGCCCATACAGATTGAAGACAATTTCAACCCAACACTTTACAGACCACACGGAGATGGCTCACCCTTGTCTGTACAGGTGTAAGATCACCCACAAGCCCTCGCCGGCTTTGGTAACTTCTTGAACATAATCCTTCCCTGAGATCTCTAAAACTTCTCCAAATTTGTTCTTCAGCTGAGTTGCTTTCCACTCAGCCAGCCTTTGCTGCCTGCACAACAGGAAGAACACACTGAAGTTACACAGACGAACACTTGTGCATGCGCACGCACGCGCATCTTTCAGAAGAAAAGAAAAATCCCTGTGATGGGACTGACTGATTTGCCTCATGGTAGAAGTCTAAGACCAGTTTGTTGAAATATTCAGAGGACACGCATTTCAGAACCACACAAACTACCTTGCAGTCCCTGCGGATGGCACTAACCTGTACAGCTCGATAGCACGTTCATCCTCCTCATTGAACTCATCCTCGTTCTCTTCCAGCTCCTCCAAAGTCATATCCTCATATGTTTTCACTGAATTTAGTTTCATTGATAGAAGCATAAAAATGAAAAGATGAACAAACATCTTAGTGCTTTTCTCCTACGTATGTGCACACTACTTCTGAAGGCCCAGTCTACTGAGACAAAAACCAAGGTAGTGCCCTTCTTACTACAAGGATACAAATGACAAATTTCCCAGATGTGTGAAACAAGAGTCATGTTTGCCTGAAGTTGCCTGCTCTGGTCTCCAGGGTCACACTCACGGGCAGGATGTCCGAACACTTCTCATGTCACCTATATTGTATATTACACTGGCAAACTGTCCTGTGCTAGGTGAGTTCACATGTTGTCCTCTAATTGTCCTCCATGGCCCTTTGGCTAGGATGGGTTGGTCCCCTTAAGTCTATGTCCTTGAGAACAGCCAGGAGGTGAACTGTTTCCCACAGGTGTCACTATCAATTATTCCACAATACCCAAGTGTTGCTGTAGGAAAAAGGATCCACAAGTTCAGCCACAGGAAGCTCAGCCATGAAGAGAAAGTTCACCTGGGAACTATAGCTGACTGCAGGATGCTGTGAGTGCCCAATTTGATGATGCCATCTCTATCTTTAACATTTGTCCCTTCACTTGAAGCCTCACCTAAGTGGGCACTCCGCTCTGCTCAGGAAGCTCTCTTCCCCAGTTGAAGTCTACTAGATACTCTGAGCACCCATTAGATGGTCTGCTACCTGCCTAGTCTCTGCTATTTACTCTTCAACTTTGGCTTGTTGTATAAACTCACTTAATCGATCAAAACCAAAGCTATGGCTGTCATAGGTCATTCTCTGACCATACATCATCCCCGGTGACAGCAAAGATGGGGGTCCTCCATAAACCATGATATATTTCTTCTTTTTTTTTTAGATTTAGTTATTGCCAGAAGTGGTGCTGTGACACCTTTCATCCTAGCATTGTGGAGGCAGAGAGGCAGCTAGAACTCTGAATGTGACTCAGCTGGTCTACATAACAAATTCTAACCCATCTAGGGATACACAGTGGAATCCTGTCTCAAAACAAACAAACATACAAACAAACAAACAAAAAGTTTGAGTGTTCTGTCTGCATGCATATACTTATGTGCACCGTACGCATGCCTGATGCCCTCAGAAGCCAGAAGAGGGTGATGGATTCCCTGGAGCTGGAGTTACAGATGTTTATGAGCTTCTTACTATTTGGGTGCTAGGAGCCAAACCTGGGTCTTCTGCGAGACCAGCAAGTGCTCTCAATCGCTGAGCCACCTCTCCAGCTCCAAAGTTCTGATGTTCCCATTGGTCTTTTCTTCTAAGTGGAGGGCAGCACTATCTTTCCTTGTAGGTAAATGCAGGGAAAACTGCATCTTATTTTTACTGTGATATATATTCTTGCTCTGGGTATCAAATCTGGCAATACTCCTTAACTGAACGATGAACACCATCTCATCCATGCCATCGCTGCCTACTCTATGGACTGCCCTATGCCTGCTGTCCCTTAAACACTTTGATTACAATTCAGGACCCAGTTCTTTGACTCCTTTTCTTCTTTACCTATACATGTCCACTGGTAAGTGATGTAATCCCACAATTTTAAATACTAGGAATATGCTGATGACTCCAAAAGTTTACGCTGCCAGCCCTGACGTCTCTAACTCAACACAAACAAACCCAATTCTCTGCTTAACATCTCCATTTGTCTGTTAAGAATCGTTAAGCTGGGCTGGAGAGATGGCTCAGTGGTCAGAGTACTTACTATTCTTCCAAAGGACCCGAGTTCAACTTCCAGTATCCATGCCAGGGTGCTCACCACTGCCTGCCCTGAAACCCACTCTGGAGACCAGGATGCCCTCAAACTCAGAGGTCTGCTTGCCTCTACTTCCCAAGTACTGGGATTAAAGCCATGTGCCACTACTGCCTGGCTCTGTAAGCACCTCTACCCCTCAGACTACCGGAGCCTGGCAGGCTTCCTTGCCTTTTCTCTCTCACCCAACATTGGGACCCATCAGCAAATTCTGCTGGCCCTCCTTCAAAATATGCCCAGCTCTGACCACACGTCCTCTCCTCCACCATGACAGCAGTCCAAGACAATGGTGCCTCTTTGGCATTGTCCAAAGTGGCTCATCACAGGAAGTCATGTGTTCATGTGACAGGCAAGGACTGTGGGCTGCAGGGTGGTTCACTCTCTGCTCTGCAGATCACCTATCCAGCCACCACTCACTATGCTGACGCCAGTGCTCCAGCTGTCTCCTGGCTCTTGCCCAGAAGGTCCTCCTACGAGAGCAGCTGGTAGCTTGTTTCCAAAGGCAGACAGACACGGCACAAAGGGAGGTATCGAGCAAGCTCACCCACTGACTGCTGGAGGAGTTGCTGCTCCTCCTTTTCTGCCTCCTTCTCCTCCAGTTCCTTCAGGCTTTCCTTCGGGGGCAAGATGCCCTTTTTGCGTAAGATGTCATTCCACTCGGTGTCTGCATTGGGGTCCTGGAAGAGTGAAGATGAGGACGTGATGAGGGCAAAGTCCAGAAGAGAAGGCATCACGTGGGGTAAAGTGACAGAAGGGAAAGGCGGTGAACAGGCCTACTCCTGAGAGCATCAAAAGACCTACCTAGTCTCCCCGAGGAGTGAGCTTTGGAGTAAAAATCAGGAAATGATGGTCAGATTGGCATCAGTGCTGAAACCAAGGCTTTGACCTATCTTCTGTTTGGTATTTTCATTTATAATTTAAAAAAATTTTATTTAAAACTATAATAAGTGTCTACAATATTATCCAAAGTGAGTCTGACTAGTCATAAAGCCATATGATCATTTGACAACGATATGGACTGTAGGGTTTTAGGGTGTCTCTAAAGTCTCCTAATTCTAAGGCCCAGGAAAATGATGACTGGAGATGCCCCCTGACTTTTCTGAGTTCTCACAGTAACATGATTCCTGCAATAGATTTTTAAGTGGCTACTTGTATTGGTTGGGTTTGTTTTGTTTTGTTGTTTTGATTTTGTTTTTGGTCAACTTGACACAAACTAGTCACGTGAGAAGAGGGAACCTCAAATGAGAGAATGTGTCACAAGACTGGCCTGTAGACAAGCCTGGAGGAGGGTGGACATGTTCTTAAAAGAGGACATATGTGGAAGGACCCAGTCCATTGTGGGCAGTGCCACCCCCAGGCAGGTCCTGGGATATGATGGATACAGGAGCTGCTAGGGTCAAGGTGAGGAGGCAGGCTGTAAAGAAGCACCTATGCAGACTAGACACTGCTATCAAAACAAGCTGTGTCAAGTGCAATGACAGACAGGTTGCTGGTCTAGAGCAGTGGTTCTCAACTTGTGGGTTTCGACATATGTGCAGACATCCTGCAGATCAGACATTTACATTACCATTTTTAACAGGAGCAAAACTACAGTCATGAAGTAGCAACAAAATAATTTTATGGTTGGGGTCACCACAACACGAGGAACTGTGTTAAAGGGTAACAGCATTAGGGAGGTTGAGAAGCACTGGTCTAGAGTTAAAGGGGACCACATGTCACACAGCTGGCAGAGATGATCTCCAGAGGACATTTAATTATTGCAAGAGGGTGAAAAGGAGCCAGCTACAGTGAAAAAAAGAAAAGAAGATAGCAAGCTTACTTAGGAAGTATTTGATTACATAGGAATAAGGAAGCAAAGTAAGAAACCGTCCCTGAATCGAGACGTCAGGGCTAAAACTGAACTACTGACTGCCGGCTACTTTTATGTCAGCTTGAGCTATAGTCATCTGAGAGGAGGGAACCTTAACTGATAAGATGCCTCCAGAAGACTAGTCTGTAAGCAGACAAGACTGTAGGGCATTTTCTTAATTAGTGATTGATGGGGGAAGGCCCAGCTGTGGGTGGTGCCATCCCTAGGCTGGTGGTCTGGGGTTCTGTAAGAAACCAGGCTGAGCAAACCAGTAAGTAGCACCCATTCATGGCCTCTGCATCAGCCCCTGCCTCTACATTCCTGTCCAGTTTAAGTTCCTGCCCTGACTTCCTTCAATGATGGACTATGACATGGAAGTGTAAGCCAAAAAAACTCTGTCCTCCCCAAGTTGCTTTTGGTCGATGGGATTTCATCATAGTGTGTCTTAATCAGGGTTACTATTGCAATTTCCAGGCAGCCAACCCGAGCCTGTCTAGACGGCTCTTTTCTACCAACTGGTCAGAAACAGACTTGCCTTTCTGTGATCCGATGCTGGAAATTACTGTTGTAAACCTGCTTATCCCTTCCTCTGCTTCTAAAAGGGGTTTACATCTATCTGTTCTCCTTCCTTGAGAAGTGACCATCACCAACGCCTGCTTGTCTTAACCAGAAACCTGAAAATTTCAGCTTCAGCAAAAAGACCACCCAGAGATGACCACAAGATATAACAATACCTATATAAACCACTAAGATTTCTGCTTGAATCTGGGCCTCTCTAAACAACAGGCTACAGCTACACACTAATTAAGGAAGTTTTACCTTTATCTCTGAGTGCTGAAATTTTCTCTTTAAAGGGAGCTGAGCTCCCTCCCCTCCCCTAACAAGAGGAAATGGAGACAAAGTAACATTTCAGGCAGGGGGACCAGAAAATGCAAAAGTCCCCAAAGCAAAGACACTGTGACATTCTGAGCTTCTGTTTTGAGAGGCTGCAGTAGACTTGGGAAGGAGGATGACAGGCTTACAGTTACTCTAAATTATAAATCTTTAGTCTAAAGAATAGACCTGAAGAGCAGACCCTCCCCTAGTCACTCATGATGGCTAATGCTTATTAAAAACTAAATGCTAGGCACTTTCCTTTAGCTGAACCAACTCTGACCTCCCTAGTGTAGGAGAGGTGTAGCTCTCAGACAGACACTGTCAACTTTGGTCAAACCACCCTGAACCTAGCCTATCTTCCCTGGTGTCAGAAGCTAAGCAGAGTCGGGCCTGATCAGTACTTGGACAGGAGTCGATGCTGTCACGAGGAAGTTAGCCAAACTGACTAGCATCAAAGTGGCCTCAGACCTGGAACTCAGATGCCCAATTATTCCGGGGTGGCAGGGGTTGGTAGAACACTGATACCAGGGCTCAGAACTTGGTTCGTTACATGAACTCAAGGAGAGACCGTGGGACGACCAGACTCCAGTCTCACTTCGGTGTCAAATCAGCTGAGACAGAGCACAAGACAGGTGACGTTTCAGCCGGGCGTCGGTGGCCCACGCCTTTAATCCCAGCACTCGGGAGGCAGAGGAAGGCGGATCTCTGTGAGTTCGAAGCCAGCCTGGTCTACAGAGCGAGTTCTAGGACAGTCTCCAAAGCAATACAGAGAAACCCTGTCTCGAAAACAACCAAAAAAAGTGAAGTTTCCTTTTTAGCAAGGTGGTCAGAGAAGGTGAAGAGGCGTTTTTAAGTAGGAACCTGAAGAATCGACAATGCAGAGGAGTCCAGAGCAGTTCCTGAATTTTCTCTTCACCTTCCAGGGGTACCTGGCTTGTGGCGGGCTTGTATAAATGGCTACTCCCTCCAGTCCCCAGTGCCCGGAGCCCACAACTGTATGCCCCATCTATCATCCATCCAGACTCTTCAGAATTCTTAAACACAATCACAGAAAAGGGCTGGGTCCTTGGCCAGTGACAAATGTGGCTGTCACAGATTTTAGCTATTAGAGGCTATTTCTATGGAGTTTCTAGCACTTTCTTTGAACTTTTGTCAAATGCTATCAGCAAATTCCAGTTTTTAAAAAAAGGTTCTTTTTTTTCCATTTAAAAACTAACACTAGTAGTTGGCTCAGCTCTGGAAACCACGAAGCACCCCCAACGAAGCACCAGCGTTGGGTAAAATCAATTCTAGATGGCAAACGAGTTGAAGCCTTCATCAAACCTGGAGGAGGACGACCCAGTGCCCGGGGCCCCCAAAGGGCAGGGATTTGCTGGGCAGGGCACACACGAGCAGGAGCACCCAGCCCGAGTCTGCCGAGCCTACACCCGCCCTCTCGCAGTGCGCCTGCGCAGGCTACCCACGAGGCCTCGCGGCAGTCTGACGAACTGGGTAACTCGTGTAGACCTGGTTCCAGGTCGGGCGCGAGCCCACCAAACCAAACGGCCTTAGCCTTGGGGTCCCGACCACGCCACACTCACCTGCATCTTGCCTTCAGTCACTCAGACGAGCTCTCGGCGTCCCAGATTGCCCCCCCGAATCTTCTCTGCGCAGGCGCAGCCCCGCCTCCTCGCCGCCCTTCGCCCCGCCCTCAGGAACCAGCTGGGTGAAGCCAAAAGGAAGTGAGGGCTTAGAGTCTGCGCCAGGACTTCAGGGAACCCGAGGGACGACAGTGCGAATGACCGGACGCGCTCCGGCGGGTGGGACTACGGGGTTGACGTCACCCAGGGCTGATCCCCGGCGCTACCTTGTTAGGGAAAGTGTCTGGTGAATGGGGGCAGGCCTGAGGAGGTGCCCATAGGTCCTGCGATTTCCAGGCAGCCAACCCGAGCCTGTCTAGACGGCTCTTCTCTAGCGACTGCTCAGAAACAGACTTGCCTTTCTGTGATCCTATGCTAGAATTAAAAATTACACTGGGTCACCTGGAAGCCACCCAGCGCCTTTTCTGTGTTGGATGAGATGAGTTGCTCCTAAGGTTGTTTACTGAAAGCAGATTCTAGCCTATATCTGCGGATACAGCGGTAACCAATGGGTTCCATGCCCCATTCACTCCTCACAAAAAGAAAAGACGACGCTGAACGCAGAGCTGTGTGTCTATAAACACAAACTCCGGAGGCAGGCTCCAGGGCCTGTCCATGTCATTCCTAACTGGAGTTGAGGGCACTGGTCTTCTGGTGTTAAAAGATGCATCCTACACATCTGGACAGACTTGCAACCCCAAGCTTCAAGAAGGCCCTAAGTACACCACAAAGGCTCCCTACTTTAGCTATGGTTTTTAATTACCCAAGAGCCTTTAAAACTGCAGCTCATAACTGTAATCCCAATGCTCAGGAGACTAAGGCTAGAAAGTGATTCACTGTCTACAAACAAACTTGCAGCTACATAGTCTGGGGCATTATTTCCAGGCAACTGAAATCTCTGGAACTGGGGACTCAGAACTGATAGATAATCTTTTGTATTTCCAGGGATAATGTAGAGTTCCAAAAGAATAAAGTGCTTTAGTTTAATAATTTATAAAATCCTAAAATTTCACCCAACTCTTTCCAACCAGATTATGAACCTGCTCAAGTGTTTGTTAATTTGTCTATCTGCAAAGTGTTATGAATGAATTTTCCTTGTTTTCACTCCAAAATCAGTTTTGAATTGTTTAGCTTGGTGGTGAATTTGATCTTATGCTTCTCTCCATCCTGAACATCCTGTACATTCCACTTCAGGCCATGGAGTTCTATCACAGCAACAGAAACCTCAGCTATGACACATGAAAACAATAGAGAACCACACACATGTCCAATGGCAACAATACCCCGAATTCATGTAGCAAACCCCACCAAAGACAGACTGATACATTATTCAAAATGTCTTTCCATAATTTACATTTTCTTCTTTTTTTTTTTGAGTAAGCTTTGGGAAGGCTTTTACTAGATTTCCCTTCACTCTACTTATTTCTGCAAGTGTGTATAAGAGGGCTAAGTTCTCATAAAATATTTTGATGTGTATATGTGTGGCATGTATGTGTATGTATGCATATTCACATATGTGTGAGTAAATGTGTGTATACAAGTGTGCAGAGAGGCCTAAAGTTCACCTTGGGTGTATTTCTTAATAGCTTTCTGCTTTATTAATTTAAAAAGATCTTTCACTGAACCCAGAACTCACCAGTGCTGGCTAGCCCTGGAAATCTCATGTCTCTGCTTCCCTGTTGGGATGGTGTGGGTTGTTATGTGTCCAACTTTTATATGGGTTTTAGGGAGTTAAACACTGGTGCACAGGTTTGCACAGCCAAGAGATTTATCTACTGAACCATCTCATCAGCTCTTTCTTGATGTTTTGCACACATATCCTCATGGTAGAGGTGGAAGGCTTGGGGTTGTCCCGCCTTCCCTTTCAAGCAGTGCCCAGATATTCCCCTTATTTCTGGGGTGGCTATAAGTCTTTATAAATGATTAATGAAGCAGCCATCCCATCTTATAACAGGACTGACCCTAACAGGACCAGGCGGTTTTTGTTTGTTTGTTTCCAAGGGTCAGTTTGCTAAGACCTCTGCCCCATATCACCCCATCATCCTATGCTGACTCATGTCTAGCTTTGATCAGACCCTCAGGAAGTACGTTCAGTATGGTAGCCAATCAGAATCCCACCCAGCCACAAGCAGGAACTATTTTGGGTTTTGTTTTGTTTTGTTTTGTTTTTCAGTCAGACAGACCCCTAACACTGCAACCATAGTTGCTGACCAGATGTCATGAGCCAATCATAAAATTATTTCTGTACCAGTAAGGGTTTATACCCAATTACTTCAAAGTACACTTAATCACAGCTGGAATTCCCCTGATCTTGCTTAAAAGGAGCCTGTGAGCATCTCTCGGGTCACCATCTTGCCACTTTGTCAGATGATTTGACTCCTGCATGCTGGAATGTTTGCTCTCTTGTTGATTGCATAAATGTCTGGTGGTCTTTTATGTGGCTTCTCGTGAACCCTAACAATAAATTGATTTAATAAAAACAGAGAGATAGCAGAGATGAGAGAGAGAGAGAGAGAAAGAGAGAGAGAGAGAGAGGTTCTGAAGAGATACATAGTGTGTTGACTTATTAGCGGGGAAATTCTCCATCCAGCTTAGGAAACCCATAGGAATGGAACTTGGTTATCTCACAAGGACTTTCCTGTGATTTGTGATTACATAGGGCATTATTTTTAGTTTACAATAGCAATTCTCTGGATGAAATATTTGGTGATTATGCCTCTTCCAAAACCTGCTTGCAAAGCTGCTACAGCTGGCATTGGGGTCCAGTGATTAAGAGTCTTAGGCTTTCAGGAGTCCAAGTATAGAATGATTCTGCTCACCCATGGCTCCTCCTCCTCCTGAGGAAAGCAGGCAAGTTGACTCACACAGCATGCTGAATTCAAAATGTCAGTCCAATCCAAGATTGACATAAAGTGGGTCTGTATGTAAAGGTCCACCTGAGTGGCAGTGGTTACAAGAGCAACGAAAATGCAGGCTCTTGAAACGAACTACCATTAAAGGTGGGGTTCTATGGCTGTTGCCTAATAACCTGGAACTCCACGACCAAACATGATGTGCACTTGCTAGTTAGGTAACCATTGTCTCAAGTCTCCTTTGTGTATGGTCTCCCAGTCAATGAAAGACCAACTTCTCTTCCACTTTTCTTCACATTGCCTCTCATCTCTCATTATTTGTCTCTAAACAGCAATGTGGAGAAAACAGGAGCTGTGTTGCTGTAGATGGCTGCATACTGCCAGCCTCTGTCCATTTTGAGTCTAGAGGAATTCAAGATCAATAATGGTGGCAGTGGGCGATGACTAGTTGCTAAGAGGGTGTCTGCAGTGAAAATGTTTAGGAGTTTAGGAACCTTGGGGACTGCTGAATACAAAAAGACAAACACTGTGAAGGAAATATCTAGGGGAAAGTGTCGGCAGCCCACGATCACAGAGTTATTTTCCCAGAAGGTTGACTGGCTGTTAGAATTCAGCAATAATTTCCCAGGGTAAGGAACAAAATGAAAAGATCATACAACTTTTGATTTTAAGAATAGCTCTAGCAGTCTCATAAGGAATGATTCACAGCTTCATTTTATATGCTGAAATTGCTAGTTCTGGGACATCTGGTTCTACAGGTACAAATAAAGCTCAGCAATGTGCTCTTTGGGTAACTACGTCAGTCAATTATAATACTGGTGGCCTTTGGGCAGCACTTGGTGTAGCTGGAAAGAAAATAGTCATGAAAACCATCATAAGCTTTTTTTGTACCATTCTATAAATGTCAAACAGGAAAAAGTTAAGTACAATTAGGTAATACAGGGTCTTTGCCAACCATACATTGAAAATATTCAAAAATGAACTATGTTGGTACTGAGCATACATAAAAATCTTGTTATTAGTCCCTAAATCTATTATAGTAATTCTTTACTTAGCATTAGGGTTTTTAAGTAACCCAGAAGTTGGTAACAGCATCGTGGAGTATTGCTGTGACTGAAAAGTCAGCTGTGGCCAAAAGAGACTAGCATCACTGAAGTGAAACCTTTACGGCGCTGGGACAATTGGTGCTGGTCAGCTGGAGTGAGGAACTAGTAGTGATTAAGAAGAGACCAGCATCATTGAGGTGAACTCTTCTGGGAAGTGTTTTCCCCAGAGTCAGCACACTGAAGTTGTGTTCCTGCGGTGGCCGAGGTTGTACCTTGTGCTGGAAGCCAAACTTGGTAGTTGACAAGGGGTCAGTTGTGCTGACTAGGTTTATGTCAACTTGACAAACTATAGTAATCTGAGAGGAGGAACCCTCGATTGAGAAAATGCCTCCGTAATATCTGACTGTGAGGTATTTTTAAAATTAAAGATTAATGGGGGAGGGTCCAGGCCATTGTGGGTGGTGCCATCCCTGGGATGGTGGTCCTGGGTTCTGTAAATCAGGCCAAGCAAGCCATGTGAGCTAACCAGTAGGCAGCACCCCTCCATGGCCTCTGCATCAGATCCTGCCTCCAGGATTCTGCCCTGTTTGAGTTCCTGTCCTGACTTTCTTTGTTGATGAACAGCAATATGAAAGTTCAAGCCAGATAAACCCCTTCCTCTCCAACTTGCTTTTTTGGTCATAGTGCTTCATTGCAGCAATAACAACCCTAAGACAACAGAGATGCCTTACATATATAGTATAAACTGAGAGAGAGATAAAGAAGTCAATTTACCAAGTATATGGAAGGCAAAAATTTGAGCAGCCATGGCGATTCTAATAACTGATGAAGTAGGCACAAACTGAAAGTTATTTTGAAGAGATAAAGTTGGTGTTAAACTTTCAAGAAAATGCATATTTACCAAATGAAAAAAAACTCCACCAAAGTTTGGAGTTCCCAGTTTCATAAGTACCAATAAGCATAAAAGGAAGATATGTCCCGATATTATAATAGCCTGTGCCTCCAATTCCCCACTTCCAGCAACGAAGGGGTTATCCAGACTAGAAATCAATAAAGTTTTAAGTTAATCTGCACCAAGGACCAAATGGACTAAACAGACTTTTACAGGACATTTCAACTAACAGCTGCAGAACACATATTTTTCTCAAGAGTCCATGAGACCTTCTCTTCTAAAATAAAACACATTTTGGGCTGTTAAGAAAC